AGTTAGAATAAAATTTCATATAGATATATAATTTTTTTAAATTTTTTTATTATTATTTTAAAATGTTTTTATTTAATTTAAATTACTTATTATTTATATTTTATAATAATATATATACAATATATATAGTTATTATATATATATTATATATATACGTGTGTAATTTAATTATAAGTGTATTTTTATATTAATATAAGTACATATTAATATAAAAATACACTTAGTATGGCAATATATATATGATATATAGACATATATTATATAGATATAATATATGTCTATATATCATATATACACATATATAATTTTTTTATTTTTTTATTTACACTAACGTTATTTTATTTTTTTATTTTACACATGCAGGGAGACTGCCTGTCAGCACAGGCAGTCCCCCTGCAGGCAGACACATGGACACCTATTGTGACCATGTGATCGCTCTGTTGGGCGATCACATGGCCCCAGGGGTCCTAATTCAGTGTGGGGAGACTGTCTGGGCTGCAGGCAGTCTCCCCACAACCGGAGCCACACTGATCGCCGCCGGGGGAACGACGGCGATCAGGTAAGTAACTCAGACCGTTAGGACGGTTCAGGACCGTCATCGGTCTGCAAGGCAAAAATGCCGATGACGGTCCTGAACCGTCCTCGGTCGTGAAGGGGTTAAGCAGACTGTGATTGTCTATTGTTGTGACTTAGATGATGATCAGATCACATTTTATGACCAATTTGTGTAGAAATCCATATCATTCCAAAAGGGTTCACATACTTTTTATTGCAACTGTATGTTAACCATGAGATAAAGTCAAATCTTAGGCATGTGGAGTGTGACGAGGAAAATGTGGAAGCTTTATGGGTAGATATCTGCTTGGGGCAAACAAAGGGAAATAAATTATTGGTTGGAATATGTTATAAACCACCTAATGTAAATATTAATGAGGAAGAACAGCTGTTGGGAAAATTTGGGAAAGCTGCAAACCAGGGTAACATGTTAATTATTGGAGATTTTAATTACCCGGACATAAATCGGGATAGAGTGACTAGTACTTCAGTAAGAGGAATTAGGTTTTTGAATGTGTTAAATTACACATTTATGTCACAACTGGTACAATCACCAACTAGAAAGGATGCTTGTTGGGATCTCGTTATAACAAACAATGTTGATCTTTTGACCAACATTCAAGTAGGGGAGCATTTGGGAAATAGTGATCACAATATGGTAATTTTTAAAATAAACTCAAAAAAACAAAAGCACGTGGGGTATACTAAAACGTATAATTTAAAAAAAGCTAGTTTCAGTAAGATTAGGGCAGCTCTACAACATATCGACTGGCATAAACTCCTTAGTGAAAAAAACACTGAGGATAAATGGAAACTATTCAAACAAATATTAGAAAGGTACATTTCTCAGTATGTACCATTGGGTAATACATATAAAAGAAACAAATTGAAACCAATGTGGCTTAGTAGAGAAGTAAAACAAGAGATTAAAAATAAGAAAAGGCCATTTAAAGCATTTAAATTGGACAAATCAGAGGCATCCAATATAAAATATAAGGAAGCCAATAATGCTTGCAAAAAGGCAATTAAAGTGGCTTAACTAGAAAATGAGAAATTGATAGCCAAAGAATGCAAAACCAACCCCAAAAAGTATTTTAAGTACATCAATGCTGAAAAACTTGCAGATAACTTGTGATTGGATGACTCGAGACAAGGTGCTACAGCAGTTAACGAAAATTCATGTAAATAAAGCTCCGGGGCCTGATGGTATTCACCCACGAGTACTTAAAGAGCTAAGTGGGGAAATAAGTGAACCCCTGTATTTAATTTTTCAAGATTTGTTTGTTTCAGGTATTGTACCACAGGATTGGGGGGAGGCAGATGTCATTCCTATATTTAAAAAGGGTTCAAAATCCTTGCCTGGAAATTATAGACCTGTGAGCCTAACTTCTGTGACTGGGAAAATATTCGAAGGGCTATTAAGGGATAATATTAAGGAATTCATTGGGAAGAACTTTGTTATTAGCAATAATCAGCATGGTTTTATGAAACATAGGTCATGTCAAACTAACCTAATTGCATTCTATGAAGAACTAAGTAGAAGTATAGATTAGTGAATGCGGTCTACTTGGATTTTGCCAAGGCATTTAATACGGTTCCTCACAATAGATTAGTCTTCAAAGCAAAAGAAATTGGTCTAGATTATTGTTCTTGGGTAGAACATTGGCTTAAGGATAGAGTACAACCAGTTGTCATTAATGGTACATTTGTTAGGCTGGACAAAAGTGGTAAGTGGTGTCCCTCAGGGTTCTGTTTTGGGACCGCTTCTATTTAACATATTTATAAATTATCTTGAAATAGCCATTGAAAGCCATGTATCAGTGTTTGCAGATGACACAAAACTTTGTAAAGTAATAAAATGTGAGCAGGATATTGCTTTGCTGCAGAGGGATTTGGATAGATTGGGGGGACTGGGCACTAAAATGGCAAATTAAATTTAATGTAGAGAAATGCAAAGTTATGCACTTTGGGGTCAAGAATGCACAAGCAGGGGGGCCGGGCTTGGACACCATCCTGGAAGGTCGCAGGCAGATTGAGCTCCAGCCTAAAATTGGTGTAAAAGTGCTCTAAAGGAGGCAAACACCTCAAAACAGTCTATACCCACATATGCAATCTTAACATGCATTGCTGGAACGATTTTGGAGCAGATTATAACTCCTCAACCCTCGCAAAGCAGCAGTTGCGGCCTCCATCCTTTTGTGGCCTGGTGCTGCCCTGACGAGAGAAGAGGTCAATCTCTACGTCGGGTGCACCCGGGCTTCTAGTCCAGCAGTCAGTCTGTGCCCCGTACTCCCCCCTCTGGGCTGGCAGGGGATATCCTGGCCCCCACCAGGCGACTTCTTACCTCTGCAATGCTTCTAGGCGACAACAGTGAAGACTGCACACACGCGGCCTCCCCAAAATGGCCGACGGCAAACCTGCACAACCTTACCTGCAACACAGCAACTTGGAAGCAGAATTCCTGCTAAGATTTGATGACATGTGCCAGCAGTATTGGAGAAGCTGGGAGGAACGGCGAAAGCCACCTATGATGCCTGCACCCATGGAGCTACCTCCAGACAGAGCTCTGGAGCTTCAGTTCCCCTCCTCCTGAATTGGGAACCCGGAAGGTTCAAGCACCTACCCACAGTCCACACTCCAAGAAGCAGAACAGTCACCCAAGACTCCAAAGCCCTCCCCCAGGGATGGTGAGAGAGGCTTATGGACATGGGAAACAGGGTCCTGCTAACAACATGGGCTGTGGGGATGCTGCACAGCGCAGCAACACGGGAGGCGAGAATTCCACGCTGTCTCTACCCGCACTCGGTCTGACCATCATGGGCATAGGCTGAGAGGACTATCTTCAGCTGGTCTGATAAGGCATCCAGGCTATGCACTTACATTTCATTTTGTCATATCTGTCTTCCCCCAATACTGTGATTCTCCTTTTATAAGCCCCTTCACCTGCAACCAAAGTTGAGGTTTGCATATTAAGCTAATCTGTTTATATAGCTAGGTTGTCTCACTTTTCAGCATACGCTGGCATTGATAAATGGTTATTACTCAAGGGCATAGGGCCCTTAATCTAACACAGCATTTACAAACAGTGCTTTCACCTCACGCTTTACACAGTTAACCCACTTAATCCAGCAAATGTGCAGATTAAGCTCTACTGTTTTATTCTCGCTTGAGTTGACATGTTTAAAACGTCTTATCTTGCTTAACAGTACGAATTGCTGTCATGTACCATCCATGAACAACCAAAATAAAGAATAAAAAAAAAAAAGAATGCACAAGCAATTTACACCCTAAATGGTAGTGAATTAGGGATAACCTCACACAAGAAGGATTTGGGAATTGTTATAGACAACAAATTAGGCAGCAATATGAAATGTCAATCTGCATTTGCTAAGGCCAGTAAGATTTTGGCATGTATAAATAGGGGCATAAATTCTCGGAATGAAAATATAATTTTGCCTCTTTATAAAGACCACACCTTAAATATGCTGTGCAATTTTGGGCACCTGTTCTTAAAGATATCATGGCACTAGAAAAATTGCAGAGATGAGCTACAAAACTGATAAAAGGAATGGAGCATTTTAGTTATGAAGAAAGGTTAAAAAATTTTAATCTCTTTAGTTTGGAAAAACGGCGCCTAAGGGGGATATGATAACATTATACAAATATATTCGGTGCCAGTACAAACCATTATCTTGAAATCTATTCATAAACAGGGCTATACATAAGACACGAGGTAACACATTGAGGCTGGAAGAAAGGAGATTTCATCTAAGGCAAAGAAAAGTGTTTTTTACAGTAAGAGCAATAAGGATATGGAATTCTCTGCCTGAAGAGGTGGTCCATGCAGATGTTTAAACTGCAACTGGATAAATACTTGCAAAAACATAACATACAGGGATATAATTTCTAATAAGTGGGGTAATAGCTGCTTGATCCAAGGAGACATCTGACTGCTATTTTGGTGTCAAGAGGGAATTTTTTCCTAGTTTGTTGCAAAATTGGAAGCGCTTCAGACTATATTTTTTGCCTTCTTTTGGATCAACTTCAAAAACATATGTAAGGAAGGCTGAACTTAATGGACGCAAGTCTCTGTTCAGCTATGTATCTATGTAACTATGTAACTATGTAACAAACATTTATACACAGCAGACATTGACACATACATTTATAAATAGAGGAAACTGACACACATACACACCATCGCTGATTTGACACACACTGATAGACACACGTACACACACATTCACTGAGAGACACATACAACTGATAAAGAGCCAAAGCATTATAACTGTATTTTGTTCCTGAAAAAAGACTGCCATTTGGAGAAACCATTAGGTGTGCCTGGACATCTTTGTAATTCTCCAGTGGAGTCATGGGATCTTGCTCCCCATGTCTGGAGCACCCTGATGGGAGTAATCCCTTGTAAATGTGTGTTGTAACAAAAAGAACAGTTTCAGCAAAGACTTGTGGATTAAAATGCAGTTCGGGACTTTACAAGCATTCTCCATGCGAATGCTTGCTAAGTACTAACAGGCCACCCTGACTCTAAATTGAGAGTAATTTACCTCCCTGCTTGATGGGCATTTTCGTGGAAAAACCGCACGAACGCTATGGGAACTGTATGCACGGCCGCCATTTCGGGACTTCCACGTGTTCGGGGCCATTTTAACTCCCGAACAGCGGTGTTTGCCGTCGAGTGTCTGGAACTAAAATCGGACACTCAAATAGGCGAACACCGCTAATACCTTCGGGAGAGACACGCCAAAACTACCGAACGACCAGGACAAGGCATTTGGTAGAAAGACTCAGCAATGGATGGGGATTTCAGCGAACCCAGGATGGCATACGGATGGCCAGCCGTTCGAGAGTTTTTACACACGATCTAAGACCGACTGCAGGGCCAGCATTCATGGAACTGTTTTCGGCTATTCTGCCCGTGCGGTCGGTCAAAACTTTCAAGTCCCATATCTCCCGAACGGCTGAACCGAATGGGCTGATTTTTAAATATGTTAGTCCCCCAGAAACAAGCTATCTGGGGTATATCCAAACTTTGGGGAAAATACGTTCCTTTTTAATTGTTATTTAGTAATCTAAGGGGAGGAGATGTACAGAATGTATATTGTCTTGATTGGTTATACTGTTAATTATGTGGGTGTCTCCCTTGCATGGGCAGAATCACATAAAAGAGAGTGTCTGTCAATAAATCCTTAGTTCTTCTTGACCCTTCAAAACGTAGCCTCGTCTCGTTCTTGAAAGGGGAATCTCTGCAGTATAATCACTCAGCTCTTTTCAGAGCTGCACTTGACTTCTACTCCTGATCCAGCAGAAGGGAATAGGCGACTCCATCACTACACAGCGACTTGCCGGGAAGAAAAGGATGTCCCCAACGGCTGATACCCTCACCATACCAGGGTAGCCGTTACATGTGTGTTGTCCACTTTTTGCTACAACGCTCTCACTGATTTGAAATATCATGACAGACACACTGATTGACAAACATTTATGGACAGACACACACACTCACTGATTTGACACACTTACTGACATACACACTTACTGACACACACCTTCACTGACAGACAGACACACACACTCAATATTACCCACTCTAACTGATTTTACACACACTCACTAACCAATTTAACACACGCTGACAGACACACACTCATTGACAGACACATACGCAATATCTCACACTCACAAATTGCTTTTTTTTTTTTTATTATTTTTATTTATGTTCACCCAGCCTCCCTACCTTTGGGAGTTTTGGAGTGCATCCTTTCCCTGGAGTCCATTGCGGATAATTTCTCTGGGGTCTAATGGAGTTGCTGTCATCTTCCTGCTCTTCCAGCACTGCTCCTTCCCTCGCTCTTTAATAATGCCGGGGCCAGAGTAAAATCATAACCTGGCTCCAAGCATCACTGCAGGCGGCACATATTGGGAACCTCCCCCCCCCCAATTTAAAAAAGAAAGGTCTTTCTAATGAATGCCTCCATAGAACATGATATATTTGTACTCTAACATTTCAAAATAGTTATTTTGCTTTTGCTCTAATCTCATGGCAAAACAAAACTTTCAGATTTCTACAACACCATCATCATCCATCTGTATATTTAATTTAATAATCCACTGCTTGCATCTATATTTGTTAATAGAAGTAATTAAGCTTTCCTTTTTTACCCCTGCTGTTGCTGTATCACACATAGATCAGACACTTCTCTTCACCTTTTCTAGCCCTTACTGACCTTACTTCTTGCTCACGCTGTCTCTTTTCAAACACTTTCCTAGCTTGGGCAATATATCAGTTGGTGAAGCAGATCTAAAAATGACACCTTTGTCTGTGACCTGCTATTACTCACAATTTTACTGGATTAGGCTAGAGAATCAGAATATATTTTCTTGTTTATACACATTCTATGAGGTTTGAATTCTCAGCATTCAAGAAGTACTAAACTAATCAATAACAGAAAAGTGCTGCTATAATAAACTAAGCATCACTTGAGGCCTCTGACATCATTTTCACTTGGATCTCTTCTTGGAAACAACAACAACTTTCAGGTTGTATTGCACAGTGAATGTTAGCTTTTATTGATTGGTAGTCAGGGCTGGTTCAAAGATTTTCGGCTACAAAGACAAAGGTTATTTTTTCTGCCTCCCACCCCCAAAATGCATCTCACAACCTGTGTGTCTCTTAAACCTCTCCTGAATGTTTTACACAGTTAGTGCATTGTATCCCCCATGATTCCCTTTGTGAGTCTTGCTCCTCCTTGTGTGTTTCCTACAACCCCCTTCTGTGTCTCTTACACCCTCTTTGTGCTTCTCTTACTTCCCTCTAGCCCCTTTGTGTGTCTCTTACTTCCCTCTACCCTCTTTGTGTGTCTCTTACTCACCCCAGAGTTCATCTATGTGTCTTTTTCTCCACCCCAGCCCTTCTGTGCGACTCTTCCCTTAGTACGTTGTGAGTCACTTAATGTGCATTTTGTATACATGTGTGTCTTTACATCAGCACCTATAACAAGCAATGCATGTCTGTGTGTGCTTCCAAATCTTTCTATGCATATTTAGATTCCTTAAAAAAATAATTGTCTGTCCAATCACTTTATCCGAAAATAAAAAAAAGATTTGGGCCGGACAAATTTAGGACAGAGCGAAAAAGAGAAGTACAAATATATATATATATATATATATATATATAAATATAATTTTTTTTTACTGTTTCTCCTTTTTCCCCTTTATTGCTCACTTATCACTTGCTCTGTGAATTAAATCAACATTTATAGGGCTATTCACTAGTAATTACTCAAGGTGAAATCAAAATGAATTTCAAACGTAAAATAAAAATAGCCCAACTATGCTTTCAGTTTGGCTACTGTGGCCTTAAATTTAAAATTATTATTATTTTATGTGGTTTCTTTCTTTCTTATCTGTGTTTGTGTGTGTGTGTGTGTGTGTGTGTGTGTATGTCTGCCTTTTTGAGTATATGCTTCTTGTGTAATGTATTTATGGCAATATTACAGCATATGGGTACTGGGGGGTTCAACATGATCACATATGAACAATAAATATATATGGACACTATGGTAAGACTTGGGAGAATTGTGTGTATATATAAGCTAATTAGGTGCTGAATG